AAATGCCCCGTCAGAGCATGCGACTCAAGGTGGCGGCTGAGAAGGCCGTAGCCTCCGTCACGGCCTCGCCAGCCAAGAAGAAACGCAAAAGCGTCACTGCTGTCAAAGTGGCCGCTGAAGTGGCCGCCTCCGCGTCGTCTCTGAAGCCTAAGAAGGCCAAAACATCCTCCTCGGACAATAAGAGCGCATGGGGGGCACTCTTCTCCAAACCCAACAAGCAAGAACGTGCTCGCCCACTCGTAGCAGAGGCTATTTCCCCCGAACTCCAAGCGAAAATCGACGCGTTTCCCTCTTTTCAGGACGTTTCTAGGCGCTCGACGGACGATATCGACACAAAAATCATCGCATGGAACGTAAATGGTCTGCGTGCTGTCCTCAAGCGGGATGAAAGTGTCCACCTTCGCGCCTACGTGGCCCAGGAGGACCCCGACATTTTCTGTCTTAGCGAGACCAAAATCTGCCGCGACGAGCTTCAGAAACTCGAGGACTTTTTGCCTCAGTACGAACACCAATATTGGTCCTGTGCGATCAAAAAAGGGTATGCTAGCACGGCCATTTTCAGTAAAACCAAGCCTCTCAGTGTGAAAGACGAAATCGTTGTGGGAGACCACGACTCTAAAGGGGTCACGAAGTCCGCAAATGGCGGGAAGGACCAAGAAGGACGCTTTCTAGCGTTAGAATTTCCTAAATTCTGGCTAGTCCACACGTATGTGCCCAATGCAGGAGGCAAATTGGAACGCTTGGATTTTCGAACCGACCAATGGGACAAGGCTATTCTCCGTGAGATGAAAGAGATGGAGAAGACGAAGCCAGTGATCTGGTGTGGAGACTTGAATGTCGCTCATCAAGAGATCGACATTCATAACCCCAAGGGGAACCACAAGAGTGCAGGGTTTACGGATGAAGAGAGGGAGAGCTTCGGCAATATCTTGGAGAGCGGGTTGGTGGATACTTTCAGACACTTACATCCGGACAAAGTGGAATACTCGTACTTTGGATACCGCCACAACATGCGTGCCAAGAACAAGGGATGGCGATTGGACTACTTTGTTGTGTCCGAGAAGTTGATGCCTCACGTGGTACGTCACTTGATGCTTATATTTTGCAATTGTGAGTGGACTAAATCTTCATTTGTTGTTGGTGCTTCTGCAGCGGTCGTCGTATATCCGACAAAGTGTTGTTGGTAGTGACCATTTGCCCATTGGTTTGGAGCTAGGAGGATTGTCGTAAGGGCCACTAGTTCGTACTGGTCTGCATGGATACGTGTATGCGTGGTACGGAAAAACGGAGTATTCAATTCGCGTAAGCGGGTGACTCGCTTGTCTTCGAGCTTGCTCGATCGCGTCAGTTTTATCGATGCAAGTTCAGATCCATTACCGCACTCTGCCCTAGTAGTTCAAAGTAAATTGTCCTCAATGTTAGCATGCCTATTGCACCGAAGAGAACAAGGCCTTTTGTTAACAACTACTAAATTTATAAAATGGATGTATGAAGTGCGGGCTAATGGTAAGATAACGCAAGGCTATTCCTTAAAAGTGTGAGCGTATATTCACACTACTATCATTGAAAAGAAAATTCACCCTCCATGTCAAGCAAATGCAAACCAATACAAATATGAAGTACTGCTGTCCAACATACAATAACGATCGAATGTTGTATATATTCGACACGAGATCTTCTAACGGTTCAAATGGTAGTGCAAATTGGTAAACAAAAATGACGACCAACCTCAACGATCCCAGTCGACGGCACGAAAGAAATGGATTTAGCTCGTCGCTCGTCGTAATTTTGTCAGGATAACACTAAGCCATTTAGGACTACACTCTCGCGTCCGCACCATTGTAAAATCTATTTCCTGTCATCGTGACTGCAATATGAAGCATACGCCGTATCCGCTTGGTGTTGGCAGAGACTTTTACCTCTCCACGTGTCATTCCCCCCAGCTGTAGCCATCTGGTCATGCCGAATGGCTTCCATTTCAAAACAAATCCCTCATCAGATCCCCGTTACTTCAGTCTCCGTCTATAGACAATTCGTCAAAAAAACTCTTCTCCCTCATCTCTCATTCGTCCAAATTCTACTCTGCCTTCACTCCGTTACTTCCCACGCTTGACTCAGGTTCTTCCAGCTTCCAGTCGCTCATTGGACCCAAACATGGGGGAGGAGGACGCGGACCACAGCAACTCGGCGCGGTACGCCGAGCGCGCCGAGAACGCGGGCATGCTGCGTGCGACGCAGGAGGAGCTGGCCACCAAGATCAAGGAGCTCCAGATCTACGAGAGCAACTACGTGGGGCTCAAGAAGGACCTGTCGCGCTGGAAGAAGAAGTTCGAGTACGTGTTCCGCGAGAACGAGCTGTTAGCGCTGGAAACTGCGAAACTCGATGCCTCGCACAAACAAATTGCGTTCTTACAGCAAGAAATTAAATTCAAAGAGGAGGAAGGCGCAGCTCTACGCGGTCTAGTGAGCGCTCTCGAGGCCGCCAACAAGAAGCAGCGCGCCAAGCAGCTGGAAGCCGCCAAGGCGCGAGACTCGGAGATCGAGGCGTTGGCAGCTGAGCGTAAGAGCAACGAGGACGCGGACGTGGCGCTGCAGGCGGAGCGGGAGGCGCGACAGGAAGAGCGCAAGCGCCACGCAGCCGAAGTGTCAGCACTTAAAGCGGAGAACGCTTTGTTACTTAAGGATGTGGACCGCAAGGACGAGGAGCTACAACGACATGAAGAGCAGGTTGGCGCCCACAAGGCGCGTATTGAGGGTCTAGAACAGGCGCTTAAACAGGAGCAGGAGGCAGGCATGAGTAGACTGAAGGAGAAGCAGGACAAGGTGGTGGAGCTGGAGAATCAGATCCAGCAGATGCAGCTGAGACGCCGGTCCAGTGTGGCTGCGGCGTTAGCTCAGGCGGAGGAGGAAGGACGGGATATGGTGGGCTTCGGTCCTAAAGACCGCCTTAAAGCCAGCCATATTAGCGAAGGGGACGAGAACAGAGAGTACGGCAGCGACGAGGAGCCCGATACGCCTCCAGGAACGCCACCGCCTATCACGTCGGGCTTGTTACCGCCTGAAGACCCCACAGCTGACCAGACGATTCGTGATTGGACAGAAGACAGGAAGATTAAGGCTGCCAGGAGCTTCGACGAGGCTCTGGATCTCGACAGGCTGGAGGAATTGATCCGCAAATTGCCCTACGAACACCAGGAAGGCGCCAGTCGAGTGCTTATGGGCGCATTGGACCCGGATTCGACGGCTGAGCCCGTAAATGAGTCGCAGATTGTGCTGCGTCACTTATCACAAGAGCGCCAAGCGGAGCTCAAGGAGTTTTTGTTGCCGTTACTTAAGGCCCACCCAGCACTGCGCATCTCGTATGCCACTATGGAACGTCGCACTTTAGTGACAGATGTGCGTATCCAGATTGAACGTCGTCGGGACTCGGTTCTGGGAGGCTTTGTGCCCGGAGAGAAGCGCTTTGGAAAGGACCACATGTTCCTGGGTCCCTCTATGGAAGACGTGGGCAAACTGGTGCCTCACATGCCTCGTGCGATCAGTACAGGCAGCAAAGCCATCTACGTGTCGAAGCCCAAACATGTGGAGTCTGCGATGCCTGTGGCTGCGTCGTCTCCTCTAGAGAGAGGCAGCGAACATACAGAGGATATGGACACAGCGTCCGAGTCGGCTGACGTGCCGGACGTCACCATGTCCAAGCGCAAGTGGGGCGGACTGAACGCTGCCAAGTTCATCGGCACAATGGCGGCTGGAGCCAAACAGCGCGTGGCGGCGACTTTCAAGAACAGCAAGTTCACGCACGAAGGCACGTCGTGTCAGTTCTGTAAGATGACGCCGATTGTGGGCGAACGCTACTCGTGTGAGACGTGTGTGGGCTTCGATCTGTGCGAGAACTGCTACTCGCTCGGCGGCCACGGCCTGGAGAACTCGGACGAGCTCTTCTATCGCGTCCAGGAGCTCGTGTTGGCTCGCTGTCCTCGTCTCGCAGAAGAAGTGGACTTGCTGGAGCTCATGCGCTTCGAGATCTGTCGCTCGAACCTCCGGAAATTCAGTTTCTGTCTCAATTGGTTGGCGGATATTGTCAACGGCAAAACGTCAAGAGATCTACAGGCGCGTGCGCTGGAGATCCCGAGTATCCGACGCGATGTACGGAAAGTATTCGTACCGTTGCTCATGCGTGTGTGCAGTGATCGTGAAGATATCGAGGTCAAGACGGAGTGGGAGCTGGAGGATGATAACCAGGCTCCTGTACGGAGTGTTGGAGGAGGCGTTAGCGAAGGCGACGGGCGATTCCTCGAGACGCTCCGGATCTGGGTGGCAGACCAGTACCGAACCACGTCTCCGTTTGTGGAGCGTAGTCTGCTCAAGTACAGAGAAGGTGAAGAAGGAGAGGAAGACGAGGACGGCAGTGATGGAGATAGTGATGGGGGACACTCGAACGAGAATGGAGCGGAACCAGATGAACCGGATGAAGACCCGTACGGCTCGACAGGCGGAAGCGTCGAAGGAGCTAGCAGTCAACCTGGCTTCGTGGAGCGCAATCGTATTCATAGTGACGCGTTCTAGAATGGCTATCGGTAGGTGGACGATAAGCGAAATAAGGCACTAGTCTACCAACACTGCGACTTTCATATTTTATTCTGGGTCTTGCATGTTTGATTTTTACTATTACTATGTGCAACCTCAAGGTGCCAACCCAATCGGCTTGTAAGTTCGTATTTTGTTCAGAATCAGAATCGAAACAAGATAGAAGACTCCGCCCCTCCTACTGCATGATACCGCTGTGTGGTGTATTACCCCCGAGATCCCGGTGCTTTCATAGCACAAGTGTTACCGGAAGTGCTGTGCTGTTCGGAGTACACTACAAACCATGCAGAGAGTCTTTTTTTGTCCCACACAGATCGATTAATACGTTTATATAATCTTTATATCATAAGAATACTAGTAATTCTTAAGGTGTTAGAGAACATTTTCGGGGCTCTCTGGAGCTACTGCCAGCGAGTTGATCAAAGCGAAAAGTCAGACAGGAGCAAAATATTAGTACATGGACGTCAAATAGCCGTAACCAAGAGCTTTAGATTATTATTGTAGCTGTGTAGGAAGAATTTCGACTGCCTTTTATATAGTGCAGTATATTTTCAACTAGTAACTTCTATATGTTCAACTCGACACTTTAACCAAGCGTCTCAGCTATATACTTCTGACGTTTTTTTTTAAGCTAGTCACTCTGATCGAGTAAACCAGCCGCCGTTGGCACAGTATTTCAAGGATATCGCCGACTATGTACTCACCGCTCTTGTGAAAGGTGACATCGAGCCAAACTCCTATGCTTGCATTTTTGTATTCCGTCGACCGACAAAACAAGTGCAAGGCAATGACAAAATAAATGGATTTCTCGGACCGAATTGGTGTGTGGACACCGCCGCGATCATCTCCGATCTGAAACCTACTCTGTAGGTGTGACCGGGGTAGCGAGCTGAGGCACTGATGACCTCTATCCAATTTCACAACGTTCAAAAGATGATAAATAAGTTATCGCTCGCTTCGATCACTAACTGATTTTTAAGGCTCCTCCTACAGCTCCTCCCACTAGAAAAATATCGCAATTTTTCTTGATAGAAAAACTACAGTGTAGTGTAGTGTACTCTAGTGGATTGACGATCAAAGTTCGATTTTATAATGGAGCAGAGTTGCGTATTTGTGTATAGCTCCACAGCTCGATGGCGGCATTAGTGAGAGTTTTTTTTTTTTTTTTTTTTTAGGTGAACCAGAAAAGTAGATACGTAGCTATCGACTGGGTCATGCACGCCTCAACCGCGAACAAGTGGTCGGGGTGCTTGTGAAGCGCAACCAAGGGCGGACCCAGCCCAAAATGTAAGGGGAGTGGTGGTGGCATCGCGAAACTTAAAATTTGGTGGAAAGGAGTGGGAAAAGTGCCCTTTTTGGCCATTTTATCGACCAGAATCCAGAAGTTTTATTGAAAAAGGGATGCTACCCCCCCCCCCCCCCCCCCCCCCTCCCTGCCGCCCAATCGACCCGCTGAGGCGTGTTCTTACCGCGTGCCATCCGTGTCATGCCATGTCAAACCTTATAGGCTGAGAGCTCTTGATGCATAATGCTCCTGAGAAGCTTATAAAATATGCAACGGCCGCTACTGTGCCAGCGCCCTCCGTTAATATCACCATTTCAAGCAAAGCCGAAAAACATGTTTACACCATGGTGCCACCATCAACATAACACATGGATCCATGTGTTATGTTGATTTTAGGGACAGGTGTCGTGACTCACAAATCCGCTTGCAAACCACACGGTCTAAGGTAACTCGCAGCTAGCAAACGTTGCTTTACGGGCACTTAAAGCATCTCTGGTAGTGAAAGGGGCTAACCCTTCCAACCCAGCGGGAAATCATGAAGTATAGCTTTAAGCAAGGCCTTGGGGCTAAGTCTCCGGGCAGCCCATAACTTCCAAACGCCACTAATGTCGATTCCATTTGAGCGCTCTCGAGAGATTTGTTAGCTGTTTTACGTTCAAGCACATGGCTCTTGTTTTTCCAGAAAGAAACAGCGAAGTGCTCTTGCCACTAGGGATCGCGGTTAAATGCCGCCCACAATAAAAAAAAATAAAAATTTGAGGTTAGGGATGTGGAAAGGAAGATTTGCAATTCCCATCGGGAATCATACCACTCGGAGTGATTCTCTCCGATGCTACACAAAAACAAAGCCAAAGATCACAATTGGTTGAAGATGCTTTTGTTATCGGCGAAAACAGTGTACAGTGGTGCACCTCATTTTCGACACCGGTATGCCTCTATAACCTTCAAAATTTTATGATTCCGCTCAGTGCATTGCGCAAATCGTTTGCCATCACCGTTGGCTGAATTAACCGCAATGGTTTCCCCTCCTCTGACACGTCGCGCCGCAGCGACCTGACGCTACCGAACAGACGAGTATAAAACTGAAGCTCACCTTATTTTTTGCTGCATCATACCATGGCACGTCGCCCCTCCACCTATTCTACGCTAAGTCTCGCTGACAAGCAGACGATATGCTGCAAAGCTGCTGCTGAGCCATGGTGATCAGTAACAAAAGTTTCTACGTGGTCATCCACAAGCTTCCACCAAATACAACTGCTGCCTTGCATCCGATGGATCAAGGGATCATCAAGAGCCTCAAGGATCATTACCGGACAACAAAGTAAGAAGCAGAGCTGGACATGTTCTATAGGGGCGAAAACTATAAACCAGTCGATATTTATACAGCCATGAAGTGGTGCTCAGAAGGCTGGTCTGGTACTTCGACGAAGACAATTAGAAACTGCACAGTGGAAAGATGGATCTGCGATATCTACTGAATTAAAGTATTAAAAAACAGTACACTTGGCCCATCTGCGTTCCTGCATAATTTTTCGCCGTTGGCAGACTCTATATGGTCCACCCTGTCGAAAACGAGGTGCACCACTGTAGGACGGTGAAAGAAATGGCGAGGAGGATTGGCGCTTTCTTCCGGAATTGAAGAATGGAACTCGAGAGACGGCAGAGTGGGGTTCAACCTCCTCTACGGCATGTTTAAACTTCCTAGTAAGCTCCTTCAATATACTGAAGTATATTTAAGTAACTTCTTATTGGTAAGTGAAAGCATGTAGTAACTATCACTACGTGATTCCCTGTATCTTCCAGAACGACAGTTCAACTCCTTTAGCACTCCAGTTCCGCTCAACGTTTCTGGTATTATGAAGACATTGTTCCCTGAAGCACTCCCTTCCTGCAGATCAGAGGTCGAAGCCCCACGCTTTGCGGTTATTGCCGAACTTCATATTGGCATGTACTGCGGTATACAAGTTGTACGCCTGCTTCCCGGTATCGCCATTGATAGAAGCCTTTGCAGTTTGTAGAGAAGCGCCAGTGTGCAGCCACCAGTCAACCATGCGCTTGATATCCGGGTCGGCGTTAATTTTTTTATAGACCGCTAAAGCCGGCTTGCTAAGCTTCGTCTGATCCACTGCACTAGGTTTTACCCCATTCTTCGCGTTTTTCAGGTAGTACGGCAAGTATTGGGCGTAGGCCTGCTTTTGGGCCGGACTTTTGGCGAAATGCAGGGCTTCGTTCGGCTTAAGGTTTTGTCTCTTAAACCAGTTAAGGACAAACTGGACATCCGTGGTGCGGTCCAATTCTTGTGTGATTTTCTTGGTAAAGGAGGATGCTTCCAACGCCGTCTTCTCCGCCTTCGAAAGCTGAGGTGTAGCAACCTTCGTTAGAAGCGCAGGGTTCGCACGGAGCCAGTTGTTAAAGTCGTCACTGGATACGCTAAATTTCTTCGCCACATCGTCAAGAAGACCCACCGGGGCGGCCCTCTCTTCGCCTTCAGTGTCTACGGTTTTCTTGTGATGTTTGCTTCGCAGGAACCTCGCACTCTTGGCATCTACCACCTTCACCGCATCAGGCGCGTTCATGGCCGATACTTTGGTCAGACTTGACGGCGATGCAGCGTCGCAATAAGCGAATAACGCAGCCGCGGTGAGGAGAAGGATGGAGTTAAGGCGCATCGCAGGTTCTTGGAGTCGGTGAAGAAGACTTGAGCCGGAAAGTGATAAACGAGAAATGAATGATCTGGGAAGCCAAACTGTAAACACAGGTTACTCGTACATGTACCTGTGTCCGCGCCATATGTAGAGAAATCTCCCTTGATAATGATAGGGGTTAGACGAGGCACGGTTTATATACTTTCAGAGGAACAATAACATCTGGTTACAAAGTACTTGCATATTGTCAAGCTTAAATCAGCAGATACGACAGGGTATACAAACCCCGTGCTATTCTTATCAAGGGGCATTATGTAATACATGCAGTGCAGCATATCTCTGTAAGACTTAAATTTGGTTAAACTTGAGGTTAGGGAAGGTGTTGGTTTAATACTCACGTATTAAACAAACCATAGCTGTAGCGATCACTTATCAATGTACCGCAATCGACTTACTTATAGTTACAGATGCATTTCAGAAATTTTCACGATTTAACAGTGAGATTAGTCAAGTAACCAATTACTGGTTGGTTACTTGCCTATAAAGAGTCAATTAATCTAGGCCGACAGCTTGTCGATAAATTATCACTGAATACTATCAAAGCGACAGAATTTTATTAGTTGCTCGCCAGCCCGACCTTTCTGGTACATATAACGTTCTATTTTGTTCCAGCGTAGTGTGATGACATGAAGGAACTGGTTAATACATATTAAGCTCGTAATACGAATCTAGGTGTGGATTGCTTAACGCAACCATCACTCTGTGGCCCAGTTGCGACTCTTTTTCGAGAACCAAAAATGCAAGAACTGATAGATCAGCAATGCTGATAGTTTATTCGTATAGCACATGCAGTGCATTAGACTCTAGTTCTTCTTAACATATCGAAAGAAGAGTTGCCAGCGGTGAAGTTGAATTGTTACGCTGTTTAGTACACCAAAATGTGCCAGGTTTACTTTTGTATTTCGTTAGAAAAGAACTTTTAGACTGTCTCACTCAATCCGGACTTTCCGGTAGTGTGGGACACCAAGAATACTTTTATTTACCTACTAAAATAAGCAAACTAGAAGCAAAACTTTGAGGAAGTGCTTCAATTTATATTTTATGTAAATTCAAGCAGCTTTAACTGTCTGTCGTGCTCTGATGGCAAGGTGGCCAGGACTGCTACTGTCTACAGCTTTTGGCTCTGTTGGGGATACACTTCCGCACGTAGATAGACACGATCTTAGTATTTGTACTAGAATCATTAAGGATGCGAACTTAACGGAAGGTCCTAAAGTGAGGTCAGCGATGTAAAATACTTCAAGCAAGGACGACAAAAACCATGTGACTTTGTCATAGGGTTTTTTAATAGAATTTACAATCAACGACGAGCTACACAAACAATGCTGAAACCTTGAACCATAGGGTTCTGTGCCACAGAACCGTATGGTTCAAGGTCTCTCACTTTGGACACATCGCACCTGGCTGTGTCCGGCTCAGCTGTGGCTGCCATGGAAAGGGGGATACCAAATATTTAAATGCAAAAGCTACCGTCAAGCTTTTACAGTATTGATGATCCCTTCGGTAGTAATCAAAGGATAAAATACTCCATCAACAGCAATAATTTGCGGTTCCAGTTTACCAGTTGCTTAGAAATTGTAAGTTACAATACCAAGATATTATATCATCTCACCCCTCCGTTGTAAAATGGAATACATTTGAAACCAAGTAATCCTATTCTGGGGTGCTTCACTAAAGGAGCAGTCATAACTCCATAGGAGATTCGAAGGAATCAACCAAAGACTTTTGGTGCTTGTGGCCTTGCTTCCTTCCAAGTTCTTTACAAAGTGTGCTCTGCATTTTTCATAATCTACTTATAGATCTATCCGATACTCCAGTCACACCTGTACGAACGACAAGCTGATTAATCCATATGAGATACTCTTTAATTGCTTCTAGCTCAAGGTCCTCCTCAATACAACCCTCCATATCGTCCTCGCCCGGGTTTTCTGACCCAGTCTCAGAGCCATCTGCAGCCAATTTTTGGTCACCAACTCCACAGAAGTCTTTTCCTGTGGGCTCTTCTGCAGTTGTGTTCTCATTCGATGGATTCAGAAGCTCGTCCACAGACATTGAATTCTTAGCGTACAGGCGCGATACCATCTTCGTTTTGATCTACGTAGACGCAATTGCAGTAGTCTAAATGCCCAGTGTGCTTCCAGCACCTTGCGATGTGGGACGGTGTAAATAAGCCAATCGTTTCCACTACTGGAGCAGTGTACTGTTCCAAACTAAAGATACTCGGATCCATTTTTTGTAGTACATTCATGGATAGGAATACCCTTAGACAGGACTAAGTTGGAGGCTCCCAGCGTTATGACTACCGAGGGGATCGTCTGTACGTCCACTCTACCCCATCAGTAGAGATGGGCTATTGGGGATTTTCAAAGGTTCTTCCTACTGTCACACAGTGCGTGTGATTTGAAAATGGAAGAGAGTGCCACCCCTTCCATTTTCAAATCACTTACCCTACTGAGAAATGGGCAGTTTATTAGAAAGGTTTCAAGCGGGTACTCTACACAATACGGCAATGGACGGAGAGTCTCTGGAGGGTCTCCATTGGAGACCCTCCAGATTCTAGAAAAAGGTATCAGAATTGACTACTATGCTGTAAACTGACACTAACTATGCCAGATTCCTCTTGCATGTTGGCGCTCAAGGGGTGTTTCTACATGTGTTCAGAGTATCTGCCCGTTTTCGGAGCGCTGAGTAAGTAAGACCTTAAACGCGGCTGTTGATTCCACTAGCACTTCGCAACCAGCTCATTCGCCACTAAAATGGACCAATGCCCCGAAGTTAAAGCTCCAGTTGTTTGAATTTATCAGTTGTACAAATCAATTATAGCAGTCAATTCCGCCCTTCACTTTTTTTATAGCAGACGGTTGACTACATGTATATAAATGCGATTCGTCATTAAGATGGCGTTCCTTTGCGTCAATGAATCTGTTCGATCACATCGGTACCCAACTTGCCGGTGAAGACGGTCTCTACATGTATTACGTCCACGTTAGGAGCTGCAACAACGAATCTCCCGAAGTAATAGTCAGCGTCAACATGACGAAGGTCCGTTTTCAACCGTTGCGCTGTTTACTGAAGATTTCCAGTGTGGTCTTGTTAGCATTCTCCGGGTATCCACACTGTCGAAGGCGACTTTAGCATCTTGAAACGAACGAATGAAACACATCGCGGTCGTCTAAGCGACTACGCTGTGGAAGGTGAGCCGCAGTCGACATCTCGTCGCTGTGAAGGCTCTGGTCAAAAAGCTACACTAAGATAAGAAATATGTAAGCGTAGTGGTCTAAATGGAATGCCACTCCGGTTGATCTTTGAAAGGATAGCTTTACGACAGGCTATCAACTCGAGTACCCATGCAACAGTGCAGCACCATTTAGCTCAACCATACCAAATTCAAGCGCTGGCAAGCTGAACAGATCGGTTACCTTGTTTACGGATCGTCTGCGGATCCGGTCCACCAGGGTGTTACATATATTCTTGCATTATGTGGATCCGACCCTGATCGGGGGAGTCATTACAGTATTATTGACCATGTTAAGGATCAGTAGCATTGTCGACCATACC